ACTGCATCTGGTGATGCACAGTTTAGCCTCCCTCCACACTACAGATGTGCATCGCACACAATTAACTTGATTTCAACAAGCAATGTTGACAAACATCTAAATTCCTGTGCAGACACCAAGGCTGTATATAGGAGTAGCATTGCAAAATGTTCTGCTCTTTGGACTAAAGCAAGTCAATCAACATTAGCCTCTGAACAGGTGGAGGAAGTCAGTCGGAGGAAACTAATGGTACCGACATCCACAAGGTGGAATTCCCTGTATGAGGCCATTTCTAGAATCATCACAATTCCCTTGAATGAACTTAATCCCCTGTGTGTAAAACTGGGAATCAAGTGCCTTAATGAAAGGGAGTACCAGTTCTTGAAAGAGTACTGTACTGTGATGAAGCCCCTGACAGTGGCTCTGGACATCTTACAAGGGGATGAGTGCACCTACGGGGCTTTACTGCCAACACTCACAAGCCTGATGTCAAAGACGCTTGCCCTGAAAGATGACCTCTCTAGAATGACAGCCAGCCTTCCAGATGTCATTGTAAAGGTAAGATTATTATTAATTGCTTTGGTTGGATTTGTTAAATTTATTATACCATTCACAGTGGGTGGATGTTATACTTTGTTTTAAGCAGCGGGTACAATTATTAAAATGATAGAATAAAAGACCAAGTATTCACCCCTTGTTAAATATCAGGGACATTGATCATCATTAATCATGAATATTAATCATAACATCAACAAAAGCCTCAGCCAAAATTAAATCTCATACAGTATTGATAATAGAAAATATAGATGGTTTAGAGCTGTAAAGCCCACAAAATAATGACAATAGGTAATTATATAGTAAAATAATTTTATTCTTAGATGCATCATATTGTATGTTACAGGCCATCAAGACTCGTTTTGATGCTGTTCTGGACAGCCAAGAAGGACTTCTCGCAGTGGCCACTTGTCCCAAGTTTAAACTTCGTTGGCTGAGAGATGAGCGTAGGAGAGAGTATGTGAAGGAGCTCCTGATAACAGAGTGTCGTAAAGCTGCTCCTGCAACTGAGAACACTAATGTGTCCCAAATCCCAGCCAGCCCAGCCGAAATGGACTTTTTTGAATTTCAGAATCAGCCCACAGAAAGCTTCTCAGCAGAAAAAGAAGTAACTGACTTTTTAAGGTCAGGCTATGAGCTTGAGATTCTGAATCAGTTCCCAAATCTCAAAAAGATGTACATGAAATACAACAGTCCAACTCCATCCAGTGCACCAGTGGAACGGCTGTTCAGTTTAGGTGGATTGGTGCTTTCCCCAAAAAGGAACAGAATGTCTGATAGAAGGTTTGAGAAGCTTCTGCTGAT